TGCTGTTATGAGTCACACGCCTGGCCCCTCTGCACAGCCTCAGGCCGGCTGGTCCACAGGATACGGTGGCTGCTCGATCACGTTAAAGCAATGGACGCCTAGCCAGGTGGTGATGACAGGACTAAATGGCCAGCATCAGAGGGTGAAGTTCAAGGTCTGAGACCTCCCAGCTGTCAGCACGCTACCCCAGCCTGTCACCGAGGCTGAGCACGGGTCACCCCAGAATGAGAATCCTCTGTTCCGGTGACTTGGAGCAGGAAAGGGGCACGGCTACATCCACCCCAAGCTGGCTCGGCGGGCTGGTGTGGGGGAGAAGGTGATGGAGGCCAGGTGGGGGCATGTCCCTTCTGCCCCAGGCCGTCAGGAGTAGCCACGCGGACCACCGGTCTGAGCCGGATGGTGGGCTGCAAGGAGGCCGGGCTCTGCCCAGCCAGCCGCTGGCTCCACATGGCACCCATTACTTTCTAGCTGTGGGACCCGAGCAATCCAGTCACGCTTGGTTTTATGATCTGAAAAACGGGGCGGTGACAGCCCCTGCGTCACAGGCCATGGGGAGATGAAATAAGTTACAACATGTAAAGTATTGACCAGCCGCACCAGCCCCTATCAGGTGCTTCCTGAATGCTGGCTGTGGTCACTATTGCCACCAATACCCCCGAGGCCTCCGTCTTTCTCTGGGCCCCTGGCTGGGACGCACTTACCTAGGACATTCAGGACGCAGCCTTAAGGACAGGCACACATGGGGTGGGCTTTGCAGAGCTGGACGACGCAGGACCGTAGGCAGGGGGCACGTGGAGGTGAAGCGGGGGCCACCGTGTGAAGGTGGAGGGTGGGGGGGACTGAGTTCCTCCTGCCACAAAGGTGCCCCCAGGCCCACAAGGACAGATGAGCCTCAAAGTGCCATCGAGCGCTGGCCACGGGGGAGGTTGTCAGAGGAGGGAGACCGGGCTGGGCTCTGCTCAGTGTCGCAGACAAGGCCCCAGGTGGCCTGCCGTGGCCTCCAGGCCTCAGCACTCGCGGGGGTGTGGGGCCTCCTGGCTGGGGGGCTCTGACCTTGGCTTCCTCCACATTTAAGCAATACTGGCGCTCAGCGGGGCTCATTCTGAACTGCGAGGGTGTGACCCGTCTCTGCCTCTGCGCGGGAAGAGGCAGCTGAACCGTTTCGTTCCGCTGCCTCCTCCTCCCAGAAGCACATGGATGTGAGGAAAGGCCAAGGCACTTACTTTTCTTGTCTGTTGTGTCGTGCACGGTCACCCTGGGGACGCCAGGACCTGCGTCGGGCCGAGAAGAGAAGCCGGAAAAGAAACAAAAAGGAGGCTGTTAGTTTCGCTGAGAACAAAGGAGAACCTGAGCCTTCGCTAGGGCTCCGCGTCTGTGGGCTCTGGTCCGTGGGAGGTCAGCACGGACGGACGGACGGACGGCAAAGGCCAGGTCTGCGGGGTGCGGAAGGCTTTGTACCCATGGTAACTACAATGGCCACAATCTAAGTATGTGTTTTCAGATCACTGAAATACCGTAAAAATCATCTTACGAAACATCATTTTGTTTCCGTCCTTCTAGCCTCATTCTCACTGTCCACGCTGCCTTCCCCGAATTCTGCAAATCATTCAAGTCTCGGTCGGGAGTCACCTTTCCAACATGGCCTGGGCTGGCTCATCCTGGAGGAAGCCATTCCCTCCACTGGCCCCTTGTGACACTTTGTAAAATCTTATGAATGGAACAGGATTACTCTGCATACGTTAAACTGTGTTATCGGTTTTCCCTTGAATCACTTTAGTTTTCCCTTGAATCACTTTAGTTTGCAGCTTTCGGACTCCAAGGCGGTCACGAAGTTTATAGCCCCGGGCAGGGAGACGGAAGGTGCAACTCAGGGCAAAATGGCCCTCATCAGCTTTAGTCTCTGGGTCGACTTCTTTATTGGTTTCAGCAGGAGAGCACAGAAAGAAAAAAACGTTCTCAATGATTTTTATGTCGCTTTGAAAGCATAGGAAGCGCCAGGCCCAGGGGCCTTTCTCACCTCGTTTCTGCCCTCCTGGGCACCTGGAGATGCCATGCTGTTCCCCCCAGGTCTGAAATGCCTGTCCCCAGACACTGGATGGCTTGTCTTTCTCTTCATTTAAGTCTCGGCTCAAACGGCTCTGCAGCTACTTAAGTAAAAGAACACCCTGCACGGCCGCACGCTCTGCCCATCCTGCCTCCCTCTGCCCCTCGACAGGTCACTGCCACGTACTGTCATGTCACTTNCTCTGTGTGTGTGTGTGTGTGTGTGTGTGTGTGTGTGTGTGTGTGTTGATTTTGCTTTTCTGACATCACCCAGCCATCTTCCACGCTGACCCTGAAGGAGAAACGTCACCCAGGTCGCAATGCTGCTTGGCGGCCCGCTGAGTTCCGCTGGGCTGCAGGTGACAAGGACACACACTTGCCACCGAAGCAGCCCATGGCCAATTCCTGGCCCTCGGAGCTGCGGTGTCGCGTGCGAGCACCCTGCTCTAACTGCACGCCGGCTCATAGCCTGCCTTTGAATAGCCGCCTCTCTGCACTGAAATCCCACCCTTCACAGAAAGGCACCAAGGCAATAGACTATTAAATTTAGTTAAATATTAGATTTCTCGTTTAATGATTGCCCACACAACTGGTTTTATCAGCAGAGAGCTGCTGCTCCACAGGGGGATGGAGGTAAGCCATTTTATTTGTTCCTGTAATTGCATTCAAAGAGGGCCAGGGCTCTCCAGAGGCAGTAAGAAAAGATTGGCACGTCCCCCGAAGGAGCCTGCTTTTGACTCTGGGGCCGTGGGCACCTCCGGTCTGGAGCATACAAATGGCCGCTCCTTAATTAAATGTGAGCCTCCCCTAATATTAGGTGGAATTAGCTATTATCAGATATGGACGAACAAAGCCTGCTCCCGAGGGGGACCTTCCTGGCCTTGCCCAGCGGCGGCCGCAGCCTGGCCCTTGGACGCTTCCAGACCCTGCTGGTCAGGGCATTGTCGAATCTTGGCGTGGATGAATTTGGGGAAATTAGTGGCCAGAATCTAACAGGAGCTAACAGGCAACTGATCTAAAGCCGAGAAGAGCACTGCTCTGTTCCTCATATTTCTGCAGAAGGCAGAGTGCAGGGTTGTGTGCGCGTGTGTGCACGCGTGTGTGTGCACAGTGTGTGCACGTGTGTGTGCGCAGTGTGCACGTGTGTGTGTGTGTGTGTGCACAGTATGTGCACGTGTGTGTGCACAGTGATTGGCCTGCAGGGTTGCCCGCTGCATGCTCTGACCCCCTGCCTGGCCTTTCGGTGCCTTTCCTAGTCCAGCCTGTCCTGCTTATGTCAGATCACGTCCCCACGTGTACCCCTCGCTGTGGTGTCAGGACCCTGCGCTCCCGTGCTCACTGACTGGACATCACGAACGCTGTCCACCCACCCTGGGGCCACGCAGCGCAGCGCAGGCCCGGGCCCAGTGCCGACATTCATCCTTCTGAGAGTCCACACCTCTCTGGAAACCTCTGAATGTCTAGCTGTGAGAGTCTGTGTCACACAGTGTGGGTAAGGCTTGTTCTTCTGCTGTGTCTATTTTCTCTCCAGCCGGACTGTAAGCAACTTGAAGGCAGGGCCCAGTAAGCGAATGCGCCTTTGGACTCTCTCGGCTGCTGGTATCGTGCTGGGCAGGTGAGCGGGTTAATGAGGGGCTGCACCCTGCTGCACCCCACTCAGGAATGGGCGTGAGGTTGGCACAGCGCCGTGGGGGCTGCCCCGTGGCCATGGGGCTGGCAGCCCTCTGGCGTTCCCGGGAGAGGAGGGAGGCCGAGGCCGGTGCCGAGGGGCGGGGGATGCCACACGCTCACTATTCTCCACTCTGTGTCCACCGGACGCCAGGCCGCCCACCAAACACGCTGCCTTTGGTCTGGAATGAGCATCTACAGACCTGGTCCTCACCCCTTCTCTCCAGAAAGGCTGCCCGTGTGGGGCGCCCTGGGACCCGGGAGACGGTCCAGATACACAGGCAACCGGGGGCTTGACGTCCTGGCATCTCCTGTGTCCCCTCCTACCTGCGCAAAGAGGTGACGCCCCGTGGGTGGTTAGTCAGGAAGGAGACGGCGAGGGACAGGGTGGCCCCAGACAGGGACATGGGGTGACCAGACCATGCCTGGTCGGATCTTGTATGGGAGCTGCCTTGGTGCTGGCTGGCAGTGGGAGCTGGTTTGCTTCTTTACAAAAACCCATCAGAGGAACGTGCGAGGTGTGATCACAAAATATGGTGAATGCTGCTGCCGAGTGCCGTCCAGCGGAAAGGCAGGGACCTTCAATACGGGGAGCCATGTGTCCGAGCCTTGGTCACAGTGTGTGACAAGTTTCAACTTGTTCGGTGCAATCAGTTGGGTGTGAGCTACGGTTGAGAGAAGGTGTGTTTTCAAGTGTGCCGTAACTCACCCTCCATCATGACCATGCTCCGTGTCACACATCGTTTCTGGTATATGGCAATTTCTGTCAAATAAAAACATTACGGTGTGTCCTCATCCCCCTTAGTCACTGAATCTGGCACTGTGCAACTTCTGGCTTTTCCCCAAAGTCAAAATGATTCAGGACATTGAGGCAGCCATGACAGAGCAACTAAAGATACTCATGAAAGAGGACTTCCAGAACTGCTTCAGAAAAGTGGCAAGAATGATGGGATAAGTGTGTTCAAAGCGAGGGGGATTAATGGCAATGTGTCTATTACCGTAATAATTTTTTTTTTTTTAAATTTTAGATGTTCACCGTATTTTTTGATCATACCTCGTATCCTTGAGGGTCGGTGGAGGGTTGGTACCCGGGCAGCCTAGTAAGCACACTGACGGGATGCGATGGGTGCTGTCAGAGAGCACACATCACACTTGAACTCCCCCGGGCCCTGCGTTTTCTTAGGAGGGCTGCAGGGCTGAGTTAGCCGCATGGTGACAAGGTCCCCTCACACCGGGCCTGCGGCCTGTGAGTGTCAGCCACACACCTTTTCACACTTACATTAAAAGCAGCAATCTGTGGCTTTGTTGGTTTTCCATCCAGGCACCTAAGTTGTTTGAATACCCAGGCACCAAATGAGTGCGCTCTGGTCCCCGCCATAATTACGTTTTTAAGGAAACAGCCTTTAAATAATTCAGGGTCACATCTGTGAACAGCCCGCAGGCTCTGTTTGTCGATAAGATTTTCTAAAGGGAAAGCGTCAAGTATTCCCAGGGTGGCTGTGGGGTCACGGGGACACGGCAGGAAGGACAGAGAATTCTGAAACAGTAATTTCAAATTTCAGAGCAGGGCCGGGGAGACGAGCGATCAGCCGCCTTCAGAGCCAGACCCCTAGCCCACCAGGGCCTCTCGTGGTCCCCGATGTGCAGGGTCCCTGTGGCTTCTAGTCTGTTGCTGCCACACAGTGTGGGCCGCACATTAGCTGGTAGGCAAGACTTTCCACAGTCTGCCCAAAGGCCGCCTCCCCAAGGGTTCTCTCGCCTCGCTGGCAAGTTGCTGCAGATGCAGGGCCCCCACTTCCTGTCTGCTCTGCTCAGGGTCAGAACTGGTCTCCTGTTTCCCAGGTGGCTCTGTCACTCTGCTAGTCCCATTCAAATGCAGTGTGAACTTCAAACACCATCGGGGACTCAGCGCTGTGTCAGAATGAGCCGGGCTGGTTTTGCAGCCTTGATCCACGATGCTGTAGCCGTGAGCACCTTACTTAGGTGACAACAATGCAAAGACCTGAGCTCCTGGGTCCTAGGGCCTGGGGGTGAGGCCCCCGTGGTCAGGCCCATGTGCTCGGGGGTCACATGACCCGAGTTTCTAGTCCTAGACGTGGACGTGATCTCAGGTGCGTTGCTGTTATGAGTCACACGCCTGGCCCCTCTGCACAGCCTCAGGCCGGCTGGTCCACAGGATACGGTGGCTGCTCGATCACGTTAAAGCAATGGA